TTGAATCCGAAAAGCAACCGTATGTATCAAAATAGTCACCAGTGAGGGTTATCGTTAGCAGATCTTGAGGTTCTTCACATACTTCAAGCTAGTAGCGTGTGCTTATAGGATGGATCCAGTCGTGAGAACAGATACAATAGAGATAATAGTGATGAATGGCTGGCTTGCCGAACAACCAACTCGTAGTGCCAGCTGGGTGGTTCGGGATTTTCCCGTTGAAGCAAATGGTTCAGCGGCAGTGTTCCAGGACGTGATGGGCTTTCGCCTGGTAAGCGGTCTCCCTATAAAAATCCACATATGTCCGTTTACTGAAACTGTGACGTGGTGGATGTGACTCAGCACTAAATAAAGCCACTGCCCCTTGTTTCATACTGGCGGAGCATTGTATTCCAGCAACATAATACTGAAATTGTGGGTAACACTAGGCCCCTGTTTGGCAAACGACCAAACGAAAGGCGGGTGAACTGCACAATCAGGCACGGGCTCCTAATGGGCGCGATTACCTGAATGCGCTCCACTGTCTTGCGGGCTGGCCATTCGGCCAAAGGCTCGGGGTAGTGTCCCCTAAGTCAACACCCGACGTCGATTTGGGCAACCAGGTAGTACCTCGCCCTCTGAGGAAACCATGGACCTTGAGGTGTTTTTTTGCTATTTCTGTACCTTCTTTGAAGTCCCATGGTTTCTGATGGCTCTATGTCTATTCGTAGACGGTTACAAAAAAGCATACATATTTGGTTGGCGGCATCCGGTTTCGGATTTACCTGTCACTGTGGCCAGCCACAGGACACCTGCGCCCACAGAGGGACCATGGGTGGCTTGCGCTGCACCACCCACAGCTCCAACCACACACCCCATATCCAGTGTAAACCCAAAGGAATAAGACAAGGGAGGCATGTGGACGGGAGCCACGTTTCATCAACGGAGCCGGCCCACACTCCTTCATAAGCAAACACAAGCACACTGTATTTGGGAATCTAGCGCACATAAGGCGGTGGCTGGACCGTAGTCCACTCCACACTGAGTGCATGGAACCACTCTTCACGCCTAACACGGCCACAAAGACCGTGCACCCCGTCCCCTCCAGCAACGACCAACTGTCTCCTGGAGCCAGTATGGACGAGGTAGCGGGTAATAGACAGGTAGGCACCTTGTCAACATGCACATCAAGCGCAGTCACACCGGGGATATTAAACAACAGCCAATCACTTGAGAGAGAGAGAGACAAAGAAAATAACTCGATCAATGCATAAGGAAACGGTGACATAGATCTTAAGTTAATGAGCATATGAAATAAGTTGTTTACAAACGAATCCGAGATAAGTTCACGAGGTCAGAAAGTATACTTTCAGGAATGCCACGAACACAAAATGTTATGGAATCGAATATAATTGGCTTAAGCGAGGTGCGCAAGTTAATGGAATAGAGTACAGGTAGACATTTATATGAGAAAGAAAAGCATAAGTGCAAAATTGAAAACCCACCACCTGAAATAAAGAGACTTAGCATGCAAGCACGCGATTAGTAAATCGAATGCAGCGTACTTACAAACGCCGCGCCGGTTCTGCCTACCTTCTCTGCAGGACCCGTCGTTGCTTCGGTAGTGGTCCTGAGTGGCCTCGTTCATGGCTACTATATATATATATATATATATAGTAATGAATGGTTGAAGTGGCAGTTAAGCCGGTGGAAAGACCCAGAAAGAGACAGGGTCTGTCGTTGGGTCGCACAACGAGCACAGCTGAGGCCATCGATGAGAAACCCTTGACTGCCTCGATAAATACCGCAAAGTGAATTCTTTCGAGCTCATCTAGGATTTTAAACCTTGTGGAAGTAAGTGGCCACTTCAACAGAAAAATAAGTTTCGTATCTGGCCACCGGGATAGTTAAGCGTGCTCCTAGTAAACAACTGCGTGACATCGTTGAAGTGCAGTGAAAAATGACAGAGTGGAATGTAAACCAATCAGCAACTCACGGCAAGTCGAAAAGTGCGATGAGAGGAAGAATTTCGGTAGATGCATGTATTAAGTACAGTCTTGACAGTGCCGATAACGACAAGTAGAAAATATTTACGATTGTTAGAGAGCGCAAATATAAAAAACAAGAGGGAAAACTGAAGCGTCCACCCTATGTCTAGAGCAATCTATAGCTGACTGGTGATTGATTGAGAGCAAGACACGTTTTATGCGGCGTATCGCAATATCATCGGTGAATCAGAGGACCCGTGAACGATCGTGGATACTGCTTAACGAGTAGCAATAGCTGATACTTGACTGGACCAAAGTTAGTCGCAGCAATAAGCAAGTTGGGTTATTAACGGCGTCTAGAGCAAATAGGACCAAGTGGAGGAAGTTGTCGCGCAGTGAAAAGTAGGGGAGGCGATCCCATCATGGAGTTCAGGTGCTGTCACTCATGGCTCAGTGGTATGAGTCATTGACTTATAAAAAGGAAAGTCACCGGTTCGAGATTAACATGCACATGGCTGCCGAGCTCCACCAGGAGGAAACTGCCGTTCAGCGATATTCAGGAATTATGATATATTCTTGACTGCATTCGGCTGCGTTCATTCCATAAAAACAAAGATCCTATGCTGTTCGCTAATATTCTCACCAGCCAGATTCGAAGCTTTTACTGAGGCGCCAGGTGTCATATGTGTTGTGTACGACTGACATAGTTGGTCAATTTATTTCCGTCTGTCAACTGGTTGGGCTTCGGAAGCCAAGACAGTACGAGGCAGATTAGCGTAAGCACTTAGTTAAAACTCACAATGACAGAGCTATTGTGGGCTTAAGAGCACCGCACAATAACTGACACAAAAAGATGATGGGTATCCAATATGTGAATGCTCTGGGACTAGATGCGAAACGAATAAATGAAGCCTTTGGTCCGAGTACCTTATGCCTGCAATTGATAATTCATAAAATGGCAAAATCCGAGGCAATACTACACCTGCTTCATTTCACTGACTGCAAACATATCTTTGCACTCCCGCGTGGGCTCGACACAGCCCGCATAAATGTCGAAGTATAAAGGTGGGATTGGGTAATCCTGTTACGAGACTATGGTATGCTCGCCCGCTGACACCGGTGTACGATAAACGTAAGATGGTTGAATGATTATGCGTAAGGCAATTAATTGAGCTCAGGCAAATAGCTGGGTCTCCTTGGACTTAGAAACCGCAAACAAACGTTAAGACGGATTCATCACGACCAATCAAACAATAAGATGCCCCTACGCGCGCAGAAAGTGACACACAAGCCCTTCTCTCCACGTAGACCCAGGAATAACGGACAATAATGTCGAATCCCGTGGGTACAGACCAACATGGTTAAAGTATTGAGGCAAAGCCAAGGACTTGCCCATTAACTAACACGTAGGCAACACGTAGGTAAGGAAGTAGTTTGACGATTACACGAATTTTGAACAAACTCGTCACCTCCCCCCTAACGCAATGGCTACTTGCCACGTATGCCGGCTGCCCATCTGTGAGTGGCCTAGATCATCGCAAGACAAGACGCTGGGAAATGCACTTCACAGAATGCCTTCGTGGAGTGGAAGTCCCTACCACCAAAAGATACAGCTTCGAGCATTTTATATAAAGCCCCATCGCAAGATGCTGTGTAGCAGCTTAATATCCACAAAAGCAGCGACATTGATAGGCCCTTCGCGGTTGTGAACTAAGAGCGGTGTAAGAAACTACCAGGAAACGCCGCCAACTGATGAAGGAGCAATGGATGGCACAAAGTGATATATCTGTAGCATTGATGTCGGTTGGTCACGAGACAGTGCCAAGAAAGAGCAAAAACGAAGGTTGTAGACTGTTGCTGATCAGAACTACCGTAAAAGCTCAGCAAATTGATCACTGGATTAGTGGTCAACATAAAGAGATCTGGATCCATAAGGTTTACATGGTGAACGTTCAAGCAAAGTATAATAAGACGGTCAACTTGGAGAAGTGGTTGGGGTATAGAGATGGTAAACTTCAGGGGTGTTACTGGTTTTGGATTGATCCAATACGAATAGACCCAGAAAATCAGGGGAATAAGTGGTTCAAGTAGTTCATTAACGTGTGAGGTATATAACGTAACAGAAGGCTGGAAGAAGGCTGAGTAATTGTGGCATTGTCGCAGCCACCGCTTAGCTGAAAGCTGCGCAGTTTCTACTCACTGTCCTCATCTGCACGTAGGAGTGTCCGTATACCGGCCAACCACTCGTCAGTTGAATTAGTGTAAAAATATCTGATCGATGAGCTGCACAAATGCATGGCAAAAGATAGTTTACATTCCGTCTGCTTGATGTCCTGTGCTTTCCATTGCACCCGCAACGAGCCGTTGTTTCGAACGCGCTAGACCGTAACACTGGTGAAAGAGATCAAACCGTTGTCTAACCTACGTTTGGTACTTTAGAATTGTCTGAAGCGAACCATCTGCGGATAATTTGAACATTTCAAAATTGCAAAACCTCATATCAGTTAACCTATCCAACAGCTGTGATAACAGCTAGGTGTAGAAGACAGGATGCGTTTGGCGCATCCCTGATGGATAGCCAATAGGAAATGCGCAGCTTTCGGCTAGGCATTGGTCACAAAGGTGCCAGACAGGCGGCGACAATTGGCAAAGGCGGGTGTCCCAAGGAAACAAAGTAGAACCAAATAGCTAAATGCAAAATATCAAGTGCAATAGGGTTTCCACATGTGAAATCATCATAGCGCCGGAGTACAACGACAAGCATGGGGTGCAGCTGGAGCAAAGACCGAGTTTGAGAAAGTCAATCGACGTATGGAGGCAGAACATAGCCGTATAAAGTTACTCTCGGGGAGCAAGGAATATGATTATCAAAGAGCTTGGCGAAGGTGCTATATGCAAGAATATACGAAAAGAAGAGTAGTGAATGCTGAGACCAACCTGAGGCCATTGTAATGGATGTGCAAAGTTCGTAAGAGTACTCAGATGAGTTGCACTACGTAGGAACCAAGTAAATAATCAAGGGGAAAAAGTACTCACCGGTGACGGTGTACGCAAAGTAGAGAAGCACGAGTGTGGACAGCGAACCACATTGCGAGAAGCGGAGGAGACCACGAACAAACCGAGGGGCGTATGTAGCGCGTGCTGTAGAAACAGAGACACGTGATGAGGGATGAAGTAATAAGAGTGAAGATGTCCTAAGCAAATTGTACTGAATGCAGTTGTAACAGCTGTAGGCTGAATGGAAGTTCAGGGGGTAAAATTGTGTTGAGTACCTAGAAGTACACACATAGATTTACTCACAAGTTTGAGTGGAGACATGTGTATCATTGGAAAAATGGGGAAAGAAAGTCTTGATCAACAAAGCAAAGTACAGTAACACAAAGGGAAGTAGTTGCAGCCACTGTGACCCGTTAAGTTTGTTCTAAATTTTCCGAATTGAACATTTGACGGAAAAGAAATGGAAGAACAGCAATGGATCCACTGACTTCCGTTGCATCCCATAACAGTGAAAACTTCGTATCAAATGGGAGTCCGCGTCACCTGGTTCCCAAACTGGAAGGGGGATAGACGCGAATGATATCAGACATCTGGTAAGATACGTCATGTCCCTTTTTCCCATCATCCGACGTCTACCGCGACACTTCCAGTCGCACCCAAAAAGGTGAATAATGCGACATGAGGAAGGTAATGAGTTGGTATACGCATCAGCTCGCCGAGCCAACACAAACGGTATTGAAGAATAATTCCGAGGTGGTTGAGACTGTAAGCTCTCAGTACCCGACTTTGAAGTTTTGTATCGCTTAGACGGTGCAGCAACCACTCACGAACAATAGTTTGCAAGTAGCGGTCGTCGAAAATTCATAGTCGTTTCAATCTGCTACGCGAACAGGCTAGCCCTCGTAAGCCAGCTTTTGGGCTCGAGGCTAACGTCAAAAAGATGGTATAAGCTTCACAGATCGATAAAAATGCACGGCGGGCTTTAGTGAGTTGTTTCGTGACTTCATCGTCAATACTGCCAAGAGTCATGAAGCAAACTTCCTAGATAAGTAGAGCCGGCAACCTGCACCAGGTTGTCGCTTGCAATAGTGAAAGAAGACACAGTTAATTCCAAAAATAAAATATAACACCAAACACGAATGCGGCCAAATACAGACCGTACTCACATGCCTATCACTATGCGAGTCAAATTATTTTAGACGGATTGTGAATCGCAAACAGATATCAACGGTCTAATCAAGGTGCACGACTCTGATGTTAGGGAGAAGCTCAAAGTTGCTATTCTGGACACCTGGTGCTTCATGGGATGTATACTTAATGGCAGATCAGGAATGGTTACGGCAAACAAAAAAGATAGCTTGCCATAAGCCCTAATTTCGTCCGATATGTGACTGCACACTAACTTCAGCATAATGACTAACTTACAAGGGTGCGTGGTTCCGTAATTTGCAGTTCCAAGAGTACATATACCTAATGAGACAAAAGTGGGCAGGATATCCAAAGGTACCACGACCGCCAGTCTTTGATGGACGTGATGTCTGAGAAGTTGACAAACGAAAACCAACGTCTCTTGAGAGACAACTAGGTGAAAACCTAATAGACGTAGAAAGTTTTGATCGGACAGTGACTGGTGGAATTCCTCGTTAATAGGCACATTTGTTGCGACAGCCTATATTGTGAATAAGGGAAACAATTGTGATGTGATCCATGAAAATGGAACCTTGGCATCAGTCCAATAGTGAGATCTCATAGACAACTGCAACCCTGCCAACTTTGAATCGGGCCGGTGGACGTCAGTCAGGACCGGGAGCTCTGTAACGTACCGAATTTTGTATATACATTCGAAGATCCGCTTTAGAATCACGATCTGCAGAGACAGGCGCAACATCAGAAGATGATTGGAGGTGTCACAGTGTAATGCTGCGTAAGTAATTTCAACATACTTCCACAGATTGGTGATATTCGTACCATCTAAATAATAGCTTGTTCGAGTCATCGCATGTGATTTGCATCCGGTGACAGTGATGACTGAAAACAGCATGTGGATGTCCACAGCAGATGCAGCAACTTTCCTCTCAGTGACTCGTTTCGATCACCAGAAGTTAAGGCCACAGTGAAAACTCATATTAGGCTCCTAGAAAATGGATCGGCTAGATCTCTTGTGTTTTGTGTCAATAGGAACAGACCGGCGGATATACCAGAGGGAAAAACCCACTTATTGCAGACGTGACCAATGCAGTTCAATGTCTAAAGTAGAGATAGCAAGGTTTAGATATGTTGATACTCCATTTATACAATGGGATCACTCAGTTTGTCAAAGCACAGTCGGGTTTGTTTAGCCCCAGGAGAGACACCGAAGCGTAGGCAAACCGTCGCGCGTACTTCTCGACATGAGCAGAATCAACGTGTTTCAAAGATATGAGTGGAAAGTTGCACAAATTTTCGAACATCCTCCACAATTCTAATGAAGAATAAGAAATGAAAGGGAACTGATAAGACTATGGGATTATGCGCATACTCCAAACAACGGTACCATAGAACCGAGGTAACCACGGATTGGACAGTAAAAAGGGAGGCAGGGGATGGTCGACTAAACACAGTGTGATACTTACCCAGTAATCTTCTTGGAATACACCTCGGAATTGAGAAGATGCATATCAGTCCCACAACCAGTAGGTAGAATAGAACTCGCAGCTGAGAAAGGAAATGTGGTGGAAAAAACAAGTCACAACAAGGAAGCCATGAATCGAGAATCGCAAATGTTGCATACTGAAACATGAATAACTCAACGCACGTGCACCGTATGGCTGGTCAAGGTGGTGCAGGCGCGGAAGTGACGACCTTTAAATTAAGTGACATGCACTAAGCTACCAGTCTCATGAAGTGACTAGAGTGATAGACATGCTGAGCGGGATCCGAATGCTTTCCCGCCCCTTGCGGTGGAGTATACCATAAATTGAGAAAAAGGACGTATGTAACCGAAAATTGGATCGGCAATAGACCAAAAACTCGGGTGTAAATTTAGATGTTCCGACATAAAGCGCATACATGAGCATGCGGGAGGCCGTATATTAGACGAAAGTGTGTCGACTGAGGGAAAATCGCTCTTGGAATTGAAAAACACCAACATGGTGTATCCGCAAAATGTGCGAAGCTGTTACAGCAGTTGATGATGGTTAAAATGGTGACCCATGCTGCTTCTACGGGTGTGATACCCACACAGTAACAACGCAACGAACTACAACAGCCGTAGTTTTAGATAAGTTGGTAGACCTATATTGGAATATCCGCTGCATCCATTCTTACTGAATTCTGTCACGATGATAGTATAGTCTCAGTTGGTGGATACGGTTTCCTCCAGTACATATTCCACCAGACGAGTGTTTTATCAATGAGTGTTGTAGTACTCGTTCTATACATGGACTGGGACACGCAATCCCAAATAGGACAGCATCGCCAGTGAAGCTAGGTGTGGCGCGAAAGGCATCTGTCAGCAAGCTTCATATCCCAGGAAAACGTCACAGCCTGACTATCATTACGGCGGACTCGAACGTGGAGTGCAGTGATGAGAGCGCTATGGACACACCAAATATTCATCTGGTTCAGATGAACAATCATTCAGCACTGATCGTCAATAACATGAGGACAAAGGGCGGTGTAAAATAGTTCGGTAACAGGCCAGAGGTGCAAAGGTGATCCGGTGAACTGGTTACGATTAAACCAACGCGGAGTGATCGCAGCGAAAGCGATTGTAATGCTAGCCCCATCTTAGTGCAAAGACCTGAGGCGGTATGCCGTGATTACTGTCAGTTAAAACACAGCAACCATTTTGATTGATCAGTTTACACCGAACGAAAACGCATCAGTTGGTAGGACTACTTTTGATACGCTACTGAAGCTGGTGGGACCCCAGCAATGGTTACATTCTTCTGGAAACAGTTGACACAAATAAACTTTTCCCATCGGGTGGTTCTATAACTTCTGGCTGATCGCTCTTATAGCAGGTGACTGGTATTCCCATGTTCACCAAGTTGTTTCGCTTGCTGATACGGACCGAGTCTGAAATCGACATTCCACCGGGTCGCATATAACGTCTGTGTGAGGAGATAAGGCAAAAATGAAGGAAGGGTCATATATGTCGGCTAGCACAGCAATCAAAACTTCCGAGGGGAAACGGATGGCTGAGTGGACTTCTGAGTACTCCCTAATAACGGGGAAATGTCAGTGAACTCAAGGGAAGGATAGGTTTGTGCGTATATACATGGATCAATCTATCCTGCTACATGAGCTTCAATAACCTTAATGCGCTGCAAGATAAAGCTATATCACGTGTTGTGTGATGCAACACAACACACCGAGGCGGTTCAACTTGGAACCGCAAACAGACTGTGCCGGACGAATATGGATGTATTATAGACGGTATCTGCGTTGAAATATGCCCGATGCTGATGCTGATGTTGCATTCTTGATGCTTCTTCACCGCAGTTGGCCTAAACCAACTTACACTTGAACTAGGTCTTTTTAAGTTGGATAAATTTCATTCCACTTTATTTGGTTTGTTCTGCCTACCTGAATAATCTTCTATTAACTGGCCACGTTGCTTGCGCTAATTGCGCTTATCTTCGGTAACTTTGTTGCGTTTGTAGCATTTTTAAGTAACTTGTGGGCATTTCTTACTTATCGCGAATTCGTTGCTAACCAACTTACATCGTATGGTAATTTTGCGAAGAGTTATGCCACCGCATGTGTATGCATTATTGGAATTACTTTATTTCATCTCGTCGTTTCAAGTGAATGGCTGTTGCTTGATATCCCCGGTGTGGCTGCGCTTGATGTGCATGTTGACAAGCCGCCTACCTGTCTATTACCCACTATCTCGTCCATACTGGCTCCAGGAGACAGTTGGTCGTTGCTGGAGGGGACGGGGTGCACGGTCCTTGTGGTCGTGCTAGGTTCGAAGAGCGGGTCCATGCACTGAGTGTGGAGTGGACTATGGTCCAGCCACCGCCTTCTGTGCGCTTGATTTCCCAAATACAGCGAGCACGTTTTTGCCTGTGAAGGAGTGTGGGCCGGCTCCGTTGATGAAACGTTGTTCCCATCCACATGCCTCCCGGTCTTATTCCTTCGGGTTTACACTGGATATGGGGTGTGTGGTTGGAGCTGTGGGTAGTGCAGCGCAAGCCATCCATTGTCCCTCTGTAGGCGCAGGTGTCCTGTGGCTGGCCACAGTGACAGGCAAATCCGAAACCGGATGCCGCCAACCATGTTTGCGCACCTGCGACCAGAGTCAGCCGCAGATGAGAGTTGGTGGGTTTGCTCAAATTGGACCAGCTGCTGTCTCGCTTGAGGCGAGCGGTAATAAACCATTGAGCAATAAAACGTGCCCTCCCACTTGCAGAAGCGTTACTTGGAACCGAGCACAATAAAAATAACCAAAGGGCAGAAAAGCTGTGTATGGAGCGCGCAAGCAACTGATGAGTGCTTTTAGGCAAGTGAACTGGTAACCCAAACAACATCCAATTACAGACACCAGCGAGATCCGGAGTACGATGGAATGTGAGCCATATAATCATACATATATAAACAATAATCAGTATAAGAAAGATACTACATGGATGCTTGTGTATGACTGTCAACCAGTAACAACTACAAGCAGCCAAGAGTACAACATCTAGAGGGAGAACAACGATATCTGTTTGAAGCCGAGATAATAACAGCACAAAATCGAAAGAGCAATACTCGGAATTCCGAAGTGTGTGGTTGGTAAAACAAAAAGATTAAGTTGAGGGAAAGGAGCAGTAAGTTGGTAAAGTGCTAATGAACACAAGGCTGGAGAGCCAAAGAAAATTATGGCGAGGACGGCTGGACCTCCCGTAGACGAGGTAGATTATTCGTACGAGAGTTACTAGCCAACCGAAAAAGTGAGCGCGTGAAGACGATGGATACTACTTGCGACTATGTGAGCTCGTCAATACGGTAACTGCTGAACGCTATAATAAGGGCTAAGACTAGAAAATCGGGAACAATGGGCAGATGATAAGGATAAATCAGGGGGGACAGATAAGCAGAAAGCACCCACGCGACTAAAATGTAAAGCACGCAATCCAAGTGCGCAGATAAAATTGCTGCTGATAAATTGGAATAAACAAAACTTACATTGTAGGTGTGATCAGCGTGAAGAACGAAATTCGCAGCGTAAGAAAAATCCCACGTAGGATCACCATTTATAACAAACGGATGCGAACTGGTCTTGGTGTTCCCCGATGCATCCTGCAATAGCCAAAAAGACGATGGCGATAAAAAAACTTCTTGGCAGAAATCACAGAGGCTTGCAGTGGATCATCATCATACACGTTAGCCAGAGGTGGGAAGCACCTCAGCTATTGTGCCGCACTACATAAGAACTGAAAAATACGCAAATGGACGGATGGACATCGTTCCTGAGTTAGCAGGCGGCTATCGTGAGTGGAGAGGAAGGCTAAGCGGGAGGGGGAGGGACAAAGAAACTAACTCCACAAAAGCCAATGAGGTCGGCTCCTAGTCATGCCAATAAGCGTATCCAGTCAAACAAGTTCATCATTTTTCAGACCCCAACCAGGGAGCCGAGACTCCAGTTGAGGTCAAGCTCGAACTAAGGGCCATTCCTCCCGATCAAGTCATCCCTCGGCCACCCTTCATCTTCCACCCACACCCCCGGCACGCAAACGACGCACGACGCGGAAGTCAGTGGGTTGGCATGCGCAACACGTGGCTCAGCCATTGCAGCGTAACATAAGGGTGTAGAGCGATACACTTCCTCTTCCTGTGTCATAAACAAAACGCCGAACACGCTCGTTACTCACGCCGTATTTCCACCAGATTTGGGCCAAACTGAGAAGGCACCGGTGGTAGAACGTAACTAGAATCTTTATGTTTGGTGATCTAATGGGCCAGAATTCCCAACGGTAAAATAGGGTTGAACGTACGGCTGCAATGTAAACTCTGCCATTCATAGCAAGTGATCTCACGCCGACGCCACAAGTGACGGAAGTTGGTAAAAACGTCTCGGGCTTTGCTATACGGCTCATGACTTCGTCTTCGATTCCACAGGCACTGGTACAACTGTCTTGGTAGTTGAATTTCTGAAAGACTTTAGCTGATCCGCACCAAGCGTCAGCGCAGGAGGCTGTTCATTCCCATCTTAGGTTAAAGCTTTGCATTTTCAGGAAGCAAAGCATGGCCCGGAACGTATGACAGCCAGCGCCAATCTGTCTAGTGCTGGTTGGCACGTTTGTGAGCTGTCACAGATGAGGACAATGTCGTCAGCATAATCCAATTTGTGAAGTCGTTAACCAGGAAGCAGCTCCACACTTTGTACTTCGTGACCAGTGAACGCCGTTTCCTTGACTTCGTCAATGGCGAAGTTGAATAGGAAAGATGACAGCTGGCATCCCTGTTTTACACTGCTGGAGATAGTGAAGGGCAGCGATAGCTTGCTGTAAGTCAACACTCTGCCACAACAAGGCATGAAAAGCGTTCGGATAATATCTACGTATTTCTCGGCCTTTCCTTAACAGACAGTCAAAGGGCACATAGATTCAACGAATCGAAGTCACCTATGATGTTGAGAAACACGAGAACAGTGAGCCTCAGATATATATGACGAGGATCCACAATTGACGTGAGGTGAAGAAGCCACCATGCCATGGTCGCTTTGTTGGACAACCGAGCTACCTTCGACTCGATTAATCGTCCTGCTTTATGGTAATGTCTGCAAAAGAATGGGGTATTCGAAAGATTCTTCCATGGTTGCCGCATTCCGAAAATGAGCCTCCCTTGAAGATCGGGGGCGGCTATAACCGGTTTGGACAATTTGCTGCTCCCACAATTTCACTCATAACTCGTGTAAATTATCCACAAGAATCTTACAGTAAATCGCTACAACGGGTGAAATGAAACAGACCTTGGCCGTTATAAAAACATAGATGTTGTAGTCTAGACAAATGAGATAATTCGGTAGCGTGTTTTCGAAAACCGATATGTGACAGAAAATAATGATCAAACCGGTGGGACACGAACTGTGTCTATTATGCATCCCAAAGTGCAAAACAAAATCTGCCTGACTGTTCCAGTGAGGTCGAGAAGTATGCGGTTTAGTGAACCCCTTTCATCATAACTACTTTGCTTCTAAACCAGTCCACTAATCATTACAAATGAACTTATGCTACCCTGACAATAAGTTCATGTAGTCTCACAGTCTTAAACATGTCATGCCGGACCTCAGAGCGAGAGATTCTTATCAAAGATATGCGGGCCGACGAAGTAGCTTAAATATGCTTTGGTGAAGTACGCATAAACCATAGTGACTAGCCACTGGTTCCGCGCACTGGTGTAAGTAAGCTCACAGCATGGATAAAGTTATGATTCGAATTAAGACATCCAATCAGAAGACATTAGCTCCCAGCACCCCTACTTATAAGGCAGTGTCCATCAATTTTCAAAGTCTAAACGAGTCTGAGCAGCCATCAAAGTCTGTTATTCGCAAGATGGAGAAACATTTATACTGAAGCATAAGCCGAGACGCTATTAAACTGCGAGGAGTTCTAGCTTGGCGTTTCTCGAAGTCGTGTCTTATGCTTTCGGTCGACGGCCGTTGACCGACACGCATTGGCCATCCGATGTGCTCGGTCAAAACCGTCCTTGCTCTATCTGGCGCCACGTTGAACTTTATGCATGATAAGCCGCATTAATTCACAGCTGTCCGCCTGGCTCACGCAATAACAGTCGATTCTCGTAGGCGGCACTTGACACGTTTTCCGCCCACTGCCCATCTGTCACCTCCGGTTGCTCAGTAGATCGACCGCTACTGAACCCCGTGTCGTTCGTCAAGGTTACTTGATACGCACGTGCTGTCCTCTTGCGGCTGATGGAGCCAATCCGCTTCGTCTTTGTCCATGACCAAGCTGCACTTAGTTCACACTAGACTGAGTCAGACCGAGCAGATGGAAATGGGGTGTTGCTCACCGAAAAACACCGAGCCAGATCTACTTTGTTTAACTCAGCAGCGGCTATCGATTGGCCTCCTATATAAGAAAATGCCATACCATTTGTTTTGTTCATTATACGTGTGTTTATGATCAAAAAATTACAAAATTAGCGCAGAAACAATTGTAAGAGCATGGAAAGTTAGCTCGATGGAGTAAGGGTTCAATGGGAGCATCATATTTGTCACAACCTTGCAGGCTTGCATGTTTTCAGGGGTGCGGACACTTGATCTGCACCGTCGAGTCTTCCCCGCCACAGAGCCAGCTGTTTCAAATTGATGACACAATCGCTGAGTAGTCTGTTTAAGTGGGACCCATTTCATACGAAACTGTGAACGAAAACGTCTTTGTGTCGCTACAAAAATACTCGTTTCTGTAAAAAAAATACGATGCATCTTTCACCTTCCATTCAACATTCCACCTTGAAAATTGCATCTGGCGCCAAGAAAATATTCTATACAAACGTCTCGCGACATCTACCGGATTTTCCATAAACCAAAGTATAGGAATACTAGTTGTGAACATTATATCCACAACATTACATGTGTAATGCACAAAACAATTGGTATGGCATTTCGTGTTGCACCTGTATTTTTTCCAGTACATGTCCCCACCGACTGCAGCTCAGCAGGCTTAGATGAATTCTGATGGCAACTTACACTTCTCAACTGAACGCGTAGTAATGCCCATATTGAGATGTGGAACTTGGGCATCTGGACAACTCCAACACAATAAATTTCTCTTCTAACGATTTCTGGATGCTCCAACCGTCGCAGTGGATAAGCAACGGCGCCATATCTGCTGCACCGAGCAGTGTGGATAAGGGTAGGAATGCCAATGTGCAAAACTTCCAGTCCACTTACTCCCTCTCTTGCGCATCCTCAACCTCATCGTCCCGCTCAAACTTTCCTTTTATCCCCCCTGTTTTCAACACGCCAATTCTTGGCCCTACCATTCTGCTTCAATAGTCGCATGTCTTCTGATTTCAAATCACACACAATCGCAATGCGTCGCTCCAGTCCACTCGAGAAGTCTATGTTCAATCAAGCAGAGAACGTTAGTTCAACCGTTAATCGTTGGAGACCCCAGTGCTCCTTTAGATTGTCATGCCTCAATGTGCGCACTTTATTTCAGATTGGCCAAAAGGCAGTATTTGCCAAAACAATTGAGGCCCTATCGATCTATAGCTGCTGTTTATCGGGAAATGGTCTACAAGATGAGCTCTGTGCTCGCTTTGCCGTCCCTTATAGATGACACTGAGAGTGCATTCCCATTGCGTTTCTCTGGAGATAAGGCAGCTTCAAATACCGCTGTGGGCATTACTCCGAGTCCCCGGGTTGAAGCTTCTATGGTAGAATGGATCTTAACCAACAGCCAGACGTGCATCGTCAGATAGGCTGGCTCCTTCAAAGCTTTGAAGTCGTGTGGGGACTAACGGTGTCTGTCAATGCGGCCTACGCTCCCTCAAACTGTAGTGCTGACTCAGTGAAAGATAACTTCTATCGCCAACTGAACGAGCTTCTTCGTCGCAGAAGGAACACTGATATTGCAGTGCTGGCTAGGAAGCTGAACGCTGAAGTTAGAAAATGGTCCACTGATGAGCTGCATCTGGGTGGCCAACACGATGTAGGCTTTAGTATGATAAAGGTGAGCGGTTTATTCATTTTGGTGAAAATGCTCGCCTATTTTCCGCGAACGCTTTTTGCAGATACATTACGACGACTAAGCCGATTTTTCAAAAACTTATCGTATCCGAAAATGGTTAGCTGATTGTCAGACATCATCATGGCACAAAGATTCAGTTATAAATATGATAACAAAATTATTCACTAAAATAAAATGAGCGTAGTGTGTGGATCTTAGAATGAAGAGAACGGATGGTTATCAAAATTATTGAGACAGTTGTGAGACATGAGCAGTATTGTTTAGGCTGTTTTACAAACATCAGAGTTTTAAGCCGTGTTCCTGGACCTAGGCTAAGAATTTTCGAAACAGGGTGTGTATTGGTAAGGTTGGAAAATGATTTGGTGGCCAAAACGGAAGGGAATGGGATTGAGTACGGCCATCGAGAAAAAGGTTCGCTGAAAAGAACCATTGGTTTGTGGGAGAGGGAAAAGAAGAACCTCTTACAATTTCATTTGTGGATGTTGGTTTGAAAGGATGTGTATTCTGTATAATATCAATGACAGCCTGCTGGTTGTGAAAGGCATGCATAGGAATTAGTGCGTCTTGGCGGATGAGCGCAAA